CCATGCCTATCTCAATACCGTCTAGTTAAGGTCAAGCGAAATATATTAATCAATGTTAACTTTTACATGCTTTCAATCTTGTGACTTATTTAAAATCTGTAATATATTTGAAACGTTTAATTTATTTTAAAGTTATGACTCATTTTTAATTCAAACTTGTAATATATTTTAATTTTGTTAATATTTTTCTATTATTAATAGTTATTTGTTAATTACTTTTCTTAAGATAAAGATTAAAAGACTTTTTATTTTTCACTAATAAAGAATGAAGCTAACTAAGAAAATTAATATAATTTTTCATGTAAATAATAATATATATTTATTTTATTTTGAACTTAGTTTCTTAGCTATACATTATAATTTTAAATTCATTCACATTCGAAGTAATTTGAAATTGAACCCTAAATTGAAATGAGTTGTAAGACATGTAAGTTAGTGTATGTATTATTTATGTTTCACATAGAAACTTGATTTGTCATTGTAACTTGAAATAGTCAATAGAATAGTCCAATAAATCCTTGAACCGGTTTATAGTTAAAATATTAATTAGGAAAATAGATGCAACTACTACATCATTTAAAGGTATCAATCAAAGTATCAAGTTAAGCATGTCAGAGCTAATTTCAAGCCAGATAGTTTTCGAATTCTAATTTATTTACATAAAAATACAGACATTGAATTAATAGTGAAATCCCTTTATTGATTTTAGTACAACAATGTGTAGCTATTTATGGAAACTTCTGTACTTCAACCATGGATGTATCCTTTCATTTACGTTACCCTACCGAAAAAGGTATTTAAAAGGACACAAAGTTAAATTTATTACCAACATGTTGTATTTCAGAGAATTTAGTTTTCTGAGGAAGAATACATGCAAGTATGAGTTCCACATGTATGGTAATGTTATTTTTGGCAAAAAAAATTAAATAAAATATAATTATGGTAATAAAATTGAAATATGCGGTATTTGAAGTATTTATTTAGTATTTTTCCCAATCATATGATAACGCTTTGCAAGATATTCCAATTTTCAAAATTATAGTACTTATTACCACGCATTTAGTAGAAAATACAAATCTGCAAAGTAAACTTAATAACTGTTTTTATGTCACGCTTTAATGTATCATGATAAAATTACATTTTTTATCATTTATCAAAAAACCATATTTTATTGTCCAATTTGCCAAAAACATTACTGAAGCACTTCGGTAAATATTACAGAATTTTTCGGTACTTCCATAGGACCAGAAACACGGTAAATTTTACCATATTCTGGTAGTGTTTGACTATACTTTTTTGTCAGTGCACATTTTTGAGAAATACTTCCGAAACAAAAAAAAAATAAATAGGATACTTTTGCTGTGTGAGATGTAGCAAGCGTTTGGAAACATTAATTAAATCTTGCATGCATGTTGTGAAAGTAAAGCTGTACCCGAATGTATACTTTTCACACTTTATAATATAATTTTCGTATTTCATAATGTAATTTTCATATTCTGCATAATTTTGATAATGAATTTTTCGAAACTTTTCTGAATATCTGTGTTATGAAGATTTTTTTTCAAAGTATGTATCATTGCTCTACTTTTTTAGCGGGTACTGGAAATAAACTAATATCTGAACTAGTTTGAGTGCTTACAAGAAGATGATTTCCTTATGACGTTATCTGATGTCTGGGAGTATTGTTGTTTTGAAAACCCCATTAAATATTTATTTACAGGCTTAAATTAGACGTTCTCAACATAGTTTTTAATTTTCCGTATGAATATACATCTAGGCCTCTCCGGATTAAATTTTCTCATTGTAAAAACATATTAGATCTCATTGTAAATGCATATCAGATTAAATTAATTTAAGCTATGGTTGGGGCACGTTTTTCGGCTTGAAGATTTGAACCTAGTTAAGAAACTTACCGTTTCGAAAATTGAAGGAACTAGAGAAAAGAAGAGGGAGACCAGCTACAAGATGGTTGGACAGTGTTGAGAAGGAATTAAAACTGTTGGGAATAAACAGGTGGAAAAATCTATCGCAAAGTCGCCCTCCCTGGAGGCAGCTAATCGAGAAAGCCTTGGCCTGCTTTAGGCTGCAGTGCTGACGAAGAAGAGGAAAAAGCTATTATTATTTATCTATGCACATTTTAGTCTCCCGATCTGGATCATACTTCGATGTAACGAGATTTCTTAAAAATCGTATTGAACATTCACTTTTGAGCTTTCACTGTTTTATAGAACAGTAATATACAAATTATCGTATTTCAGATTTCGATTGAGTGCTACAAGATGATGTTTTCATTAGAACAGTAAATGTTACTTGCTTTGTTAGTTGTTTTGAAAACTACATTAAGCGTTTATTTTTGGGTTTTCATAATAATTTGCCAGTATATTTTTAAGTTTCTCGATACGAATCTACATCCAGACATCCTCGAAGCATATTTATTTTATTGAGAAAAAAAAACATATCAGTCCTTTTTTTTTGGTTCTAATGGCATGATTATTTAACTACTCTAAGTTCATTTTCCCGAACTGGATCACGCTTATATGAAGAGAGATGTCATAAAAATTGTATTGAACATTCACTTATGATTTTTCACGGTATTATACTACTGTAATATACCAATCAATAACTGAATTGAGATTAGGATTAAGTGCTACAAGAGGATGTTTTCATTTTGACAGTAGATGTTTCTGGCTTTGTTAATTGTTTTAAAATCCCATTAAACATTTACTTTTGGGATTTCATAATATCTTGTCAGCACAGATTTGAGTTCCTCGATACAAATTTGAATCTTAATATCTCCATAACCCACTTATTTTATTAAAAAAAGCATATGAAACCTTCATTTTATGGTTTTCATGGCATAATTACTTATCTACCCAAATTTTAGTTTTCCCATCTGGATCATACTTCTAAACTCCTGTTTGTGAAAATTGCAACACCATGAAGGAATCGTCATAATTGAATGAAATTTACTACACAGTTGAGTGGTAGTGGTACAAATAAATTATTAAACATTCAAAGCAAACAAACAATAGCAAGAGATCGAAATCAGTATTTTGTGTAGCCACCACGCACCGCAATAAGCGCTGCTACACGACGTGGCATGGAGTCAAGCAAATTTTGAATATCTGTCTGAGGAAGAACATTCCATACAGTTTGTATGCGTACCCAAAGTTCGTCTGTATAAGCAACAGGACGAGGATCACGAACGAGGCACCGACCAACGAAATGACACACATGTTCAATCGGTGACATAGCTGGGGAATACGCAGGCCAAGGAAGAATCTGTGCCTGTCGCAATGCAAGGAAGCATTGAACAGTCCTAGCAATATGACGGGCATTGTCTTGCTGAAATACAGCGCCTGGAAAGGCTTGAAGGAAGGGAACAGCTTGGGGTTGTAAAACTTAATTGATGTTCCGGTTGGTTTTCAGATTACCCACAATTCGTAGCAATTGAGATCGTCCATGATATGCTATGGCACCCCAGACCATAACTCCAGGTGTTCGTCCACTGTGGCTTTCGATAATGCACTCCGGAAGGTGGCGTTCACCGGCATAGTGTCTGACACGAATGCGGCCATCATGGTACCACAAATTAAAGCGGGATTCGTCAGAAAACACGACACGCTGCCAATCAGCATGCCAGTTCCCATGCTGATTGGCCCATTGTAGCCGCAGGCGGCTATGGTTTAGCGTGATGGTGATCCTGCAAAAAGGAGTCCACGCTGCAGTTGACGTCTACGAATTGATGAAGCACACAATGAAACACCTGTAGCTATTGACCGCTGTGCTGCCAGTTGTCTAGAGGGAGCCGTATGATCTGTCAGCGCCATGCGGACTATCATCGCGAGCTGACGTGACATTTCGGGGTCCACTCTCGGATTTCCGAGTTGTCTGACACTCGTCCGTCCACTGCTTCCTAACACGCATCACTGTGCTTCTGTTACGCTGCACACGAGCGACTACTGCACGATAAAACAATCCAGCTTCACGAAGGCCGATGATTCTCCCTCTTTCAAACTCCGTAAGTTGTTGAAATCTCGCTCTGTTTCGTCGAAGTAACGTCGTAATAAGTAACGTCTGAGCTAACGTTTACCACTAGCAGATAACCACCGATAACCATAACCGCCTCGCTACAGCCGTCTATTTATTCGGATCCATCCGCCGTTCAGAGGGCGCTGCTTAGCATACGCGTGCGCTACGTGTTTGAAATTCAAATCATTTGCATATTATGCTCTACTTTGCATTTCCTGAAAATTTCAGCTCACTCGCGGTGTTTCAATTTTCACAAACGTGAGTTTATATATCGAGATTACTGAAAAATCGTATTGAACATTCACTTTTAATTTTCCATTGCATAGCGATCGTTTATCGTTTCATCAACATCGTATACCGTTTTAGCGTCTACTCACTCTATTTAGATGCTACCCTTTTAGGAGCCATCTTATCCTTAATAAAAACTAGAAAAATGTAGGTGAAATGCGAAAAATTGAAGTGAATTAATTCGATATCATAAAAACAATATCATTAAATTATGCTACCCTCGTTTGCTTTTAACATTTATTAATTAAACACTTAATCATTAAGTAGTTAAATAAGTAAATAGTTTCAAAACTATTTAGAAACTTTCATGTCCTGTATTTTGTATTTTAATACAAAATATATTTTAATACTAATTTAGAAATAAGAATTACTTTTTTTTAATATGCTTGAGAATGAACGATTCTCCTTTTTTAAAATTATGAAATTCTATTTGAAAAATGATTTTTGTTATAAAATTTCGAGTTTAGACGAATTTTTCTTGTATTTGAATTCATTTAGTTAGCATAGTATTATTAAATTCCGCTTCTTAATTAGGGCTGTGTAATGAAGATAATTATTCGGTATAGTTTATAGTAGTGTTTCACGTGTTATAATTGAAAATATTTAGTATCAGATGTGTAGAATACAATGCTTCAATATGTTTCAATTATTTAAATAGGCATTTTTCTTCTTTGCAGATTTTTCAAGTATTTGATATCTGCTGGTTGAAGAAAAAATTTTTTACTCACAATGAGAGGGAGAAGATGCAAACATATTTCCACCCAGGTTTGCTCTGTGTACATACAACAATTTAAAAACATGAATTTAATATACTGCAGTAAGTTAAACACAAAAACGTTATTGATGTTTTCGAAAAAGTAATACGGAAAAAGCAATGCTTTTCATTAGAATTAATGCTATGTTTGAATCCAATATTTCAACATTGAATCATTCGGTTGCATTGTGCTCTTTTTCTGTAAGAACTTCTCTTGTTGCATAGCAAGATCCTAATTATTTTTAAGAGCTATTCAATCATTGAAATTTATGTGGTTTAATAACTTGAACCTCACATTATTCAATCATTTGAATTTATATACGTCTTTCATAAAAACTTATGAACTGTAATCTTCAGAATTTGCACACTTTAATGCTTGAAATTCATTCTTTAAAAGCATTTAAAAGCTCAATAATTTTGTCCTTAAAATTTGTCAACTTCAATCCGTAAAATTGATAACCACGAGTGTGGGAGAAAAATGCTCCCGATGTTTGGAATAAAAATTAAAATCTGTCAATAAAGGATAATATTTGAAATGAACGGCAACGTAAGCATGTAGATGTAATTCCTTGCATAAAAATACAAAGTACATATTACGAATTACAAATCATGAATCTTCAAGAGCTTTTAAATTATTTTGAACTTTACTACTGACAAAGAAACTTAAAGCAGCTATGGAAACAAGAGGAAATTCCTTTTTCGAAAACTGCAATTCATCTGGAATCGAACTTAATGAAACTTTCCTAATATCTGACGATTTTAATCTCAGCATTATTTCGAGTAATATATCAAAGAATGACAGTTACCAAGAGATTTATAGAGGAGGTGATAAAATGTATTGGGCGTTGCTGTTACTACCGTTGCCACTTGTAGCTGTGTTTGGAAATATTTTAGTTATCCTGAGCGTTTATAGAGAGAGAAGCTTACAGACTGTGACGAACTATTTTATCGTCAGTTTGGCTTTTGCTGATTTGTTGGTGGCAGCCGTTGTGATGCCATTTGCAGTTTACGTTCTGGTGAGTTGAAACTTATTAATATCTTTTTTAACTTCATATTCTTATGATTAGTTATTTTTTAAATGTTGTTTCCAATGCCACTAGCCAAATACCAGCCTACTTGGCCCAAGCGAATTTAAGGCAGAGGGTGCATTCTTGTTTTTCAGTGGCTCCATACATGGTCAAGAATACGTTTTTAGCTTCACACATCACATCCTTCTTTAAAGAGAGGTCCTATTCATTCCTCCTTTCATTCATCTACAGATCGTAATTCTGACATGAACCAGAGAACGAGCAGTCTCTTATTCAGTTCCCCCAGCGGCATTATTTGTTATGGTAACTTGGGGTACTTAATAACCCGACAGATTTAACGTGCACCAGTCACCATTTACTGCTCGGGGAGTTTCGAGTAGCTGAGATCAAACTCACAACCTCTGGGACATGGACCCAAAGCCCTACCAACCAGGCTATCCTGGCCCATTTTTAAATACTAATTAATAACTGTCTTGAGATCGCCTTATAACTTTAATTTAATTAAACAAATAACTTTTTTAAAATTTACTATTAACTAAAAAATCAAATAAAATTCATACTTGATTTTGATTACTAAATTATTAGATTAAACCCAGATAGCACCCAACTTTTCGGCAAACGTGGTATTTTCATTTTTATTCGGTTGGCATAAAAAAGTTGACTATTTACTCCCAATTTAAATCTCGTAAAAAAATATTAGTATGTAAGGCATGTTTCCTTAAAGATTGATTAAAGGCATGCAAAGTCTTTGACAAAAATCACATTTTTTAGCTTTTATTGACAAGTATTGTAAACACCTGGTTTTTTTTTTTTATTTATTTTTTTTATTCTAGCTTTTTGCCCAGACTCTCAAAAGCATAAAAACTTAATGGTCAGGCCATTATGTTTTCAGCACAAAGTGTTAACGAAAATATATAAGAAACTAAGCGAAAAGAAAAACTCGTTTCAGTGATGGTCATGAAATCTAAAATAAACCTTGAGAAAATGAATTTAACCTCAGTTTTTGAACGCTTTCTACTCTTGATTTGCGCATGAAGATTAATCTACAATATTAGAAGGTCTTTCTATTCTCTTTTAACCCCATCCTTCTCACTCCCGTGAAAATGACGGGGCGAGGTTTCGTCCTCTATTTCTCGCTCCCGTGATATTTCCGGGCAGGAGTGTTCAGTAGTAACGCGGGAATAAGAATAAAACTAATTCATTTCTTTTGCCACGAAAACATTTTATTTCTCATTTTGCACACCAGATGGCAGTACCAGGATATTTTTAAGGTAATTGTGAAAGAGATGAAAACAATAAGAGACGTTGGCCTCTGTATCTCATGCTTTGAAATTTATCACACATGAAAAAATTGCAAATCTTTATTTATATTATACGTAAGTTTAATGAAAGTCTTTTTTAATATTTTAAACACATTTTTTTTTAAATTTTCCTAGCTTGCAGGAAAACCAACATTAAGTCATAGTAGCCCAGAATGTTAACTTTTCCTAAAAATTTAATTTTTTAAAAATTTCAAGATAAAAACAAATCAAAACTTAAAAATGAATATATATATATACACATATTTTTATATGATTTTCAGAGATAAAAAAAATAAACACTTTTATGACCATTTTCTTGAAAATTAACCGAACGTTAAGGAGTTAAGGGAGAAGCAATCACGATTCAAAAGGGCTATTTATGCAAGTTGAATGCGAAGTTTGTAAACTAGCATAATTAAATTGAACATTGTTTCAAGCTTGCATGGTTTAATTGGTAATTATTTATAAATTTTGTTGGGATTTGTGATGAAAGTTGTTGCTGATATTAAAATCAACCCTACGCTGACATTTAGGAAATTATTGTGCTGATTACATAATATGGATTACATAATGTAAATACTGATTAAAAACTTTGAATTGGCCATCTAAACTATTTATTCGAATTAATGTAACGGAAGATTAACCAATTAATTCCGTACCCCCTCACTTTCACTCTGCTTCTTAGGTGCATGCGATGGATCTTATCACATATGATGCTCTGCTAAATCTTTGTATGCTGCTCACTCTATAAATTGTTTTTGTGGTGTGGCATACCACACCGAGCAGCTCCCCATGTTAGTTACCTATGCGAGAATCTAGAGATTTCTTTTCCTTTGGTTCAGCATAACCTCAGAATGAGGTGCAGCTCAAGAAAAACCATGGATTATAAAATTAAAATTGTAGTGAAAATAAGAAGTTCGCATGGGACCCTATTGCCTTTTACCCTTTGTGAGTATTCAAAAACGAATTACTTTGTAAACACTTACGATTTCCAAAGGACTCAGCGAATCAGTGCCAGGAATAACGGATTATGACCTTAATTCATAAAGAAAACTAGTGTGAAGAACAACACTCAATTGCCCTTCACAAGCAAAAACCATTAGTTCCCATATGGTGCTCTGCGGAACCTTAGGGTTCCGTGGAAAGTTTACTAGGGTTCCGTGAGTTTCGTGAGGGGTCCGTGAGGGAGATTTTTTCTCGACCAATCCTAATTTTCGAAGACTGTAACGATGTTTTTACAATAACGACAATAAATTATTTATATAATATATTGATTAATTTCATGAAATTATCTAAGTAACAGACCAAAGAATGAGGAATTACAAATTTCAAGTAAATATATATATATTTTAAATAACAATATATTGTTATAAGAATGAAACTAAAAAAGAATAAAACTGAAAACTAGAAGCAATTACGAAAAGAATATGCACTTACGAATAATTGCATCGGTATTTATCATCAAACTTTATAATTCAAAATAAAATAATCAAATTCGAGAATAAAGTAATATTATAAAGAATATTTATGAATGTGAATTATCATTGAATGGAAATGTGAAGTATGAAGAATTATGACTTCTTATGAAGAATATTTACAAAAATACCTTTCGATTCCTTCCATATATGAGGAATAAAAAAAACTGATATCCATTCTCACAGAATATAACAGTTATTTTTCAAAAACACATAATTCAGCTTATTTTATTCAATTTTAGTTTACGCATTATTTATATATTAAGTCGGGGTTCTGTTGAAAGTAGTTCTATTATTTAGGTTTCCGTAGCGGAAAAAATTGGGGACCACTAGCCTAGGGGACATCAAGAAAATACCCACTTATACCTATCATGTTATTATAAATGTATTTCATGTACTGATGTTTTCTCTAATCTATCCGTAATCTACCGTAAGAAAAAAAGAGCAAAACTTCAAAGTAATACTTAATTACTAAGAACGAAATCAATGATTAAATGTAATGTATAATGTAGTTATTTATTTGGCGTATAAATCATATTTTGAAATTTGTTTTAAAGCCAAACTAGTTTGCATAGACATTTATGAAATCAGCATCTAAAACAGGAATACAAAGTGACTTGTTTTCCCTTCACCACATGAAAAGTACAGAAATAAGGAAATTCTGGTAAAATTACAGTGCCCGGTAATGACATTTCTGGTAAAATAATTCTGGTATTAGAAAATATATATGGTGTTTAAATCATTATTAATTTGGTAATTTTCCGTTCATATGATATTGGCTTGCGGGAAGTTCTGGTTTTCAAAATTATAGTTCTTATTACTACACATTTAGTAAAAATATGCAAAACTAATGAGCAAATTTAACCAAATAAATGGTTTTAATGCCATACTTTAAAGTGTCGTAAAAATTACCATCGTTTACCACATTTAGCAAATTCTATTACATATTATAAAGCGATATTTTCTTATCAATTTTATTCAAATCATTATTGATGCAATTCGATAAAAATTCCCGAGATTTTTAGTGTTCCCATACTGCCAGGAAAACAGTACATTTTACTATACTAGTGAGCTGCGCACCCTGCTCGCTGACGCCCGCCAACCCCGAAAATTGCTACGCAATCTTATATGGTTTGCTTCGCTCGCTACTAACTTAGGTACATTGCAAATGCACAAAATTCTGCGGATTTAAAACAATCATTCCAATCCATATAACAACTTTTTTTAAAAAAAAAATTACATCTCTTTTGTAAATACTAAGTCATTAAAATAAATTTGAATTCAAATAAATGACATGTTATTTGTTAAATCTATTAGAAATGTGCTATAGCATAAAATCTTAAGATAAAATTTCTAAAAAAAGGTTAAAATTTTGGCTATAATTAAGTGTATTAAAAATTGAAATAAGTGAATTGTAATGGAAAAGCCTGCATAAACAAAACATTATGTTTTTAATAAACAATAACCATGAACGATTCACAACTTTGTTAAAAACATAAGTATAAGTCTTAGAATAAATTCGTGATATAAATCAAAAATCGTCAAATAAATTCGTAATATATGAATTGGTGAAAAAAAGCTCTTTCGACCAAATACTAAAATAGAGATCTATCAACAAAGAAATGGTTATTTCAATTCTCTCTGGTTATTTCAGTTTCTGTTTTCAAAAGCGCTATATGTTGAGCCACCTCAGCTAGATTTGGCACGTGACATTTTTAGCGACAATCATTGGTCGATTTTCTAGCGTTGCCATTCGGGGAGTTGTAATGAGGCTTTTATTTGTCGCCGTGTAAGAGAAATATATATATAGATTTCGGTAATTTTTAGCACAATTCCTTTCCGCCTGAATTAAGACATCACTTAAAAATCAAATTTTGAAACCGTTAAAATTGTTTTCATCATCTGTGTCAGAGAATTTTACAAACAATTTCTTTTTTTAGTTTTTAGCGATAAATATTAGCCTACGCAATCGTATGAAATATAAACTACATTAACTATTAATCCAGATATTTTCAACGATGCACTGCTAGAATTTGTATTCCAAATTTATGGCAAAATAACCGGCAGCAGTCCGTCCATTCAATAAACTGTAAAGTTTACAATAAAGAACATTTTTTTCCTTTACGGTTTTGAAACCGTATCGAACTAGCATGGTTATAAAACCATGAATACAAAACCATATGGTTTTTCAGCCATTTAGGACTAGTTTAGT